GCCTGGTCAGGGGTCTGCCGGCCTGGTCAGGGGTCTGCCGGCCTAGTCAGCGGTCTGTCGGCCTGGTCAGCGGTCTGTCGGTCTGGTCAGCGGTCTGCCGGCCTGGTCAGTGGTCTTCTGAGGGATCTGTGATCTCAGCGCTAAGCCGATGTGCAGTTTCAGTGCTAGGTTGTTCTCTTGTGGTTAGAGTGATTGGTGACTTGCGGAACAGTTTAATCGAGGATGCCCAATAATTTGCTCAAGGCGACCATGTGAAATGGTTTCATGCCTTGACTTCATGCCTTGATTTCATGCCTTGGTCTTCGCTACCGATGATCGTTTGTTTTCCAAGTAACTTTATTTTTTCCTTTCGACACGCGTGGTTAGAGAACTTTGGCCAGCGTGATACCTTTTCGTAATCCTTCCATTTATTTTCAGTTTTATCTGTCAGTTGGATTTGTGTGTTTCATGCCTCCCTTAGGTTCCAGCTTGATCCCCCAATCGTGCTCCCTCCCAAGGTCAGTATGGTCCACCTAAAAGTGTGGTCCCTGACCTTGGGGCCAATAAGACGTGAGACGTCACACCAGTGTCGTCCACGATCTACCGATCAAAGTGATCTGTGATCCTCCGATCAGTACATTTTAATCCCAGACCGCTGTGATCCGTGAATCCATGATCCACACAGCGGGTGGATATTCATAACACGCTTTCCACATCAGAAGGATCTACGATGCCCATGCCATATTGTGATCCATCGGCAAGGATCTATCTTTCCGATCGATCCGTGATGTTTTGAGTGCTTTCAACCGTGCAGTGCAAACAGTGCGTTCCGGACAGATTGTTCGTGATCTCCGGCCTGGGTGAGCGGTGGTCCTCCAGTTAGGAGGACATCTGTGTTCCCGGTCTCATCAGTGAGTGGTATTGTTACCGAAGATCATGCTTTAAGCTTTGTTATTTTATGTGAGTACTGCTGCCTCATGCGTTTGGCAGACTGGGAATGGCAGCTACGAGCGCTTAGCTTTACAGTATTAATTATTCACTTACTTGCACAGTCATCCCTGCGCGATGCGCCCCCCTTAGCGAACATCAGCAGCTAACGTTTAATTTTACTCCGCATGCGTGTAGGCGTCCTGTATCATTTCATTGCATCTGCATCATCATCACTACATTCATAAGGGACTTATTGTCGGAACTCCGAACCTACCCATTCTCGAAGCGAGTTATCTGGAACAAATGACCGTGACATTTGCTTCTTCATCTCGTGTTCAGCAGGCGCGGGTTTTTGGCACGCTGTCTGACGGTGGACTACTTAGCGGGACTCACGACAGTTCTTTGTAAGTGTGGGAGTGCATGCAAATGCCGCCTGTATCTGATTAATTTCAAAAGAAGAGCAGACACAAAAACGCCGCACGTGCGTCAAAGGCTATGCAGTCGTCAGGATATCAGGACGATCACTTGCCGTTTTTGTAGGTTTGAGGGCGCCGTACGGTTGTGGATGTGGCAGGGAAAAATCACCTGCTCGCATAGAGGGAGAGTCTGCGGGTCCTGCGGGCCTGTGGTCTGGGGATCTGAGAATCTGCGGGTCTGCGGCCTGAGGATCTGAGGGTCTGCGGGTCTGCGGCCTGCGGATCTGAGAGTCGGCAGGTCTGCGACCTGGGGATCTGAGGGTCGGCGGGTCTGCGACCTAGGGATCTGGGGTTCCCAGGTCTGCGGCCTGGAGATCTGAGGGTTCCCGGGTCTGCGGCCTGCGGATCTGAGGGTCCGCGGGTCTACGGCCTGGGGATCTGAGGGTCGGCAGGTCTGCGACCTAGGGATCTGGGGTTCCCAGGTCTGCGGCCTGGAGATCTGAGGGTTCCCGGGTCTGCGGCCTGCGGATCTGAGGGTCCGCGGGTCTACGGCCTGGGGATCTGAGGGTCCGCAGGTCTGCGGCCTGCGGATCTGAGGGTCCGCAGGTCTGCGGCCTGCGGATCTGAGGGTTCCCGGGTCTGCGGCCTGGAATCTGAGGGTTCCCGGGTCTGCGGCCTGGAATCTGAGGGTTTCGGGTCTGCGGCCCGGGGATCTGAGGGTCCGCGGGTCTGCGGCCTTGAGATCTGAGCGTGTGCCTGGCTGCGGCCCGAGAATCTGAGGGTCTGCGTGGCTGCGGCCCGGGGATCTGAGGGTTCCTGGGTCTGCAGCCTGGAGATCTGAGGGTGTGCGTGGCTGCGGCCGGGGATCTGAGTGTCCCCGGGTATGCGGCCTGGGGATCTGAGGGTCCCCGGGTCTGCGGCCTGGAGATCTGAGGGTCCCCGGGTATGCGGCCTGGGGATCTGAGTGTCCCCGGGTATGCGGCCTGGGGATCTGAGGGTCCCCGGGTCTGCGGCCTGGGATCTGAGGGTCTGTGTGGCTGCAGTCCGAGGATCTGAGGGCCCGCGGTTCGACCGATGGTACCGATTGCGGGCTACTGCCGGTGGATCTAAGAAACGAATTCACCACGACAAAATACGTCAACGATTTAACGAAGATTGACATCTTCCCCTGTAGTTTGACCAGATGACCGCTCGCTTGCTGTTTGGATCCATGGCGTTATCCCCTTGAGACACTTTTGGGCAGGTTACGTGGTTAAGGACTGCCTCATTACAGCTTACTCCGTCGTTAAACATGAGTGGCTCAATGAAATGGCGACACGTGACGCATGACAAACCGATCGAATAAAGGTCGCAGAAATGTTTCCGGACAAGCTACTCATTTGTGAAACACTGCAAAGATGAAGGCCCATGAAGATTCCATGATGTGATGCGACTTTTGGGTTAATACAAATCGAGTCATCCCGGAGCTGCGTTGCCGGACGCGACTGCACAACGCACACACATTTTCCACAATATACTTACACTTAGACGTGTGAAAATGCCTTAGGTCGCTGCGTTAACATGCAGCCGTCGAATTTTGTGGATCCCTTACCGAGTGCTCGCGCTCGCGCGGTCCTGACCACCCGCCATAAGCCGTCCGCCGTCACATCGACGTTGTCCCCGGTGCGGCGTCCTGAGTTCCCCGCCCCGCTATCAGCCCCAAGTACACACTGGCCTCCGAGGCCCGCACCGGCGCTGAATCATATCACTGGAAGCTGTTCCCTTTGAATGTGCCGCATCCAGCCAGCGGGCAGTCTCCGCAGATAGCTGGTGTTTGAAATACCTCAGAGGCGTTTCTGAGCGGCCGCAGTCTGCTCAGCGTTTTGGCTGCGACGACAGGCCCCAGGGGACCCGGATGACACCGCCTTTCGTGGTTGACAGGCGGACAAAAACAGCTCGCCGGCCGTGCCGGCAGAAGAAAGGACCCGGCCCTAACCAAAGGGAGGAAGTTTGCTGAGTAAATGGAGGACGAAAACACGGGCTCGGAATGGTGTTCTTCTGCTGACTGTGCCGAGGAGAGGCAGTGAGCAAAAAATGGAACAACACAAAGCCTCGGACAGGAGAGGAAAATGGGAAAACGGAAGCGCCGGAGTGAATAAACGACTATTTTTCCGTCACGGTCGACGAATAATAGCAGTTATGAGCGGAGTCCAGCGCTTTTAGCAGTATTTTAAAAGAGAAATGGAACCCATATTTATAAATACAGGCTTACACCAGATGATTTAATTACGCTCTGCTTGAGAATGCGGTGCAGGTAAAACTGACAAATCTCATCGACAAGACCAGCTAGTTAAGTCTTTAACAAGGCTCACTACGTTACACTGAGAGCGGTTTTCTTTCGGGAGTGCTGTCGGTGTAGTGTTCGTGGTCGCACGTGCCGAAATGTTGCTAACTTCTTTTGATGGCGGATCCAAGGTCAGGGCATTTGCTCAGAAAACAATGGCTGCCTGGCCTCGGCCACACCCACACGCTGATATGCTCGTGAGACATAACGCTAACGTCATCGTCACGCTAGCGCATCCGCTTTTGTTGAAACATTGCACCGCCACGCTCCAAACTTCTGCGATGTGCGCGTAGAGCTGTTCTATTGTAAATTACGACGCGTTGGTTAAAGCCTCACTGCTGGCGAAGTTGTACTACAAGACACTTTGAAGGATGCACAGAGCAGCTGGTTGAGATCGGCTGGTAACAATACAATAGTACGTGAGGAGCGCCTATGCTGCTGCTGAATGACACATAACAAACATACATCTCCGATTAGTAACAACAAACGCGGCGGATGGACGCCCGGCGCTCGACGTAGAAAAACAAGCGTGTCTTAACTCGGGCCACCGCTCGGCCCAGGGATGTGGATTGTACTGGCATGCGGCGCTACAAACAATACGGAGGTAGATGGTAGGGCGTGGAAGACTGAAAAGCTCCATCAGCATTCACATTCAACATATATGCGACGTGTCTCTCTGCTTTCATCGCCTCTGGGTACCTTCAGCCACTTTCATCTTCGCGCGCTAACCCACTCCATTTTATGTCACAACAGCGTTCGTCTCCGCTGGTCCGTTAGTCTGCTCAACGACCGAGCTGTCGCTCACGCAGCGTGTTCTCCGACACTGTAGCCAGCCTACTGACCGATCCGTCTCCTCATTCCTGCCCCTCGAGCAGCTCTTCTCGTCTGACCTCCCTGACAGGAGCTGGAGTGATACAGCGCTGCCCTTTCTCCGTTGATCCCTTCAGAAGCGTGCCGGATTTTGATAACTCAGCCGACAGGCCTCTCCTGGCTGACCAGTTCCAGCGGCAGCTTGACTGATTCTGGGGCTTCGAACGTTACCACCTCAGTGAGTCGACCGTCTTCTGGAACCGCTCGCCACCTTCTCCAGTCCACCAATTCTCTCAATATTTGCATGCCTATGCTTCCACTATCCAGACGAGGCCTCCACCGGTTGCAGCTCGGGGTCATTCCTCTCAGCCCTCCTGCAGCGCTTGGGATATTGACCACCTTGCCCACCTAACTTCTCAGCGTTTTGACAGGTAACGCTCTCTCTCTCTCCTTCTTCCTCCATCGGTAATCCTCCATACCATCGACTGCCGCGCCCGGCAGTTCAGCTGATATGTAACCGCGGCTGTCTGGGCCTATTCTCTTCAGCAGCCGGTCCTCTCCATCTCCGGGAGCTCCTTGCCGCGTGTCTCCGGCACCCACGCCAGCACGAAGACGAGGCAGAGCGCCGAGACGGCCGCGTACAGCCAGAACACGCCGTGCAGACCCAGCGCTCGCTCCAGGTCCACGAACGTCTTGACGCTGACGAACGCGCAGCCGTAGCTGACCGAGGTGGCGAACGCGCCGAGGCCGCGGTGCCTCAGCGGGAAGAGCTCGCCAATCAGCAGCCATGAGATGGGCCCGACGCCCAGCGAGAAGGCCACCTGAAATACGAGCACGCACGACATGGGGATCCAGTCGAGCGGCGCCTGCTGGCCGTCCGTCAGCAGTTGGCTCGCATCCACCACGTACACGAACGTGCCGAAGCCGGCCAGCGCTAGCGACATGAGCGCGCTGCTGACGGCCAGCAGCGGCAGCCGGCCGACCGTGTCGATCAGGACGCCCGAGGTGAGACCGGCCAGGATCTGGAGCAGGCACACCACCACCGCCGCGCCGTGCGCGCTCGTGCGCGCGAACGTCTTGGACAGGATCGGCACCGCGTAGAAGCTGAAGGCGTTGACGCCGGAGAACTTCTGTAGCAGCATGAGGCCGCACGTGACGAGGAGGGGCCGCAGCAGCGCACGCGGCCGCCCGGGCACGCCACCGACGCCGCTTGCACCGCCGCCGCCGCTGCCGGCGCGGATCTGGAGGATATTGGCGCGAAGCACGGCGTGCTCTGCGGCGACGTCGGCGCGCGCGCCGCGCAGCCACTGCAGCGCCACCTGGGCCTCGCGCTCGCGGCCTCGGAACAGCAGGAAGCTGGGCGTCTCGGGCACGGCACAGCAGGCCAGCACCAGCAGCAGCGGTCCGGCCGAGGCGACCAGCGCCAGTTGCCGCCAGTCGAGGAAGCCACCGAGGCTGAAGCTCAGCAGCATGCCCGCGTTGGAGGCCACCTTGGTAACGGCGCAGAGGCCGCCGCGCACACGCGGCTGCGCAATCTCGCTGACGTAGACGGGCGTGACGAGCGCGACCACGGCCGAGCACAGGCCGCTGACGAAGGCGGCCGCGTACAGCGCGCGCACCGAGCCGGCGCCGGCGGCCAGCCACCAGGCGCCGGCGAACGGCAGCGCGACGGCGGCCAGCACGCGCCGCCGGCCCAGCCGCAGCGCCAGCCCCGCCGGAAGGCCGCCCACCAGCGCGCCCAGCAGCGACAGGCTGGCCACCCAGGAGCCCTCCTCCGGCGAGATGGCCAGGCCGCCCAGCGACGCCGGCCCGGCCAGCGAGGCCAGCGCCGGCGAGCTGTAGCCCTTGCCCAACCCGACCGCCAGCGGGCCCATCGAGACGGCCAGCGTGGCCAGAACCTGCCACACAAGGAGACAGGTGTCAGGGCCATACAGCGGGGCCGTCGAGCTGGCCAGTGTGGCCAGAACCTGCCACACAAGGAGACAGGTGTCAGGGCCATACAACGGGGCCGTCGAGCTGGCCAGTGTGGCCAGAACCTGCCACACGAGACAGGTGTCAGGGCCATACAACGGGGCCGTCGAGCTGGCCAGGCCAGAACAAAATGCACGGGAAGGATCATCGCAAATGTGTGTTGGGTGCGTAGGAAATATTTGTGCGTGCTAGCAGAGAATGTAGCGAAAATCAGAGGACGATACAAATAAGGTACAGTGTGCAGCTGACGTCACGGTGTAGGCGGACGACATCGGGAGTGAGCCTAGGATCGGTTATGAACGTAAGATGGTAAGAGAATGTAATCACGTCGAGGGCAGTGTCGTGCTAAAGAAGCGTCTGACCGTTACCTGAGTGATGTAGCTGGAAGACTTCGGGCTGTAGATGAGCTCCAGGGTGGAGCTGGTCATCCTTTTCGCTACAACCGTGGTCTCATCTGGACATCCTCATGGAAATGTCCTGTAAAATGAGAGCGCTTTATTGCACCTGGCAAACCCTGGGCGATCAAGCATGATGCTTAAGATGGTTTCTCGCTTCCATGGTCATTCATTGGGGAGTGATGATGGATTGTCAGGTCTATGCTGTGGTCTGGACTGGGAAGAAAAGGTCATAGGGAAGACCCTGTATACCAAGGTCATAGGTCTTGACGAGACAACGAATGGTCAAGCACCTTACTCACAAAAATTGCATCTGCTCTGAGAAGGATGGTTTTCCTTGGAATAGTTCGTATTTATTTAAGGTTAATAGTTGGTATTTATGATGTCTTTTCGTAGACATTTGATAATCAAACCGAAGTGTCATTATCCCTTACAACGGTATCAGTTGAGCGCATTTGAAGCTGCAGATCTTTGAGTCGTCACCAAAAACAGAGCCATTGGATGGGCACATCATAAAGAAAAGTCCACTGATGGGCAAAATGCACCTCATCGCAAACCTTGTCGCGACTCCAACAACAGCCGTCAACCGCCGGTTGCGCGCTGTTACGCCGGTTACGTCCGTTAACACCGCTCAGGTGCGCGTCAAATTGACCTCCCCTGAAGGTTTTTCCACAATGTTTTCCGAACGTCGCGGCGTAGCCGCGCTAAATTTTGCAGAGCTGTAGACATTTGAATAGCGGACCGTCTGGGGTTACAAATTTAGATGTACCTTGTAAGGTCGCTGACCTATGGCAGGTCAAGTCAGAATAGGCTTTTAGCGAAGGTAGTTTCTAGGAAATCGTTCAAACTGATCTAACAACGGGGTGGTAGACGAAGGCATACATCTCTGAGATACCTTCTTAGGTAACAGAACAATTAAATGAACAAATTTCATTGACCAAATGTCAGGTATAAGGTCCTATCAAGGTTAAAACCAACCTGTTGTATTGCTTTAGCGCTCGCTGCATGGGTAAGTTCCTGGCGCTCATTTCGAATTTAATGATAACAGGAACCGCATTATGCATCTTCCATAGGCTTCTTCAATGTCAGAATAGATCACTGACCCAGAATGACCCTGGTCAACATTTTGCTTTTAGGAGCATTCTGCCTAGCGTAATGTTTGTCGCTTATCCAAAAGCAAAACTCAAAGCGGTCTTGTATGATTTTAGTCACCATGACCTTCAAGAAATCAAAAAAGGCCACCGACCTTAGATGAGTATGTGGCTTTTTGCTGAGAGCAGTTATCTAGGTTCTAGGTCCCTTTGGAGATCAACCTGGAAATTTACCTTGTTTGACCTTACTTGACTCGAAGGTCATGACCTGGGAACCTGAAAGTTTTCCTTGGCGAGTCCACATGCAGGTCAATACAACCTGTGAATTTTGTGTCCCTAGCTCCCTCAGTTCCTGAGATTTCAGGAGGTCAAATAACCCCCCCCCCCCCCCTATACCTGAGCGAAGGGTATCCAACCAGCCACCCGGGCGCGTGTTAAATGGAGTGTTCCACATTTACATGGGGTTTTGAAGTCAAATAGCCATCCTGAAGACCTTTCAATGCTGTTCACATCCCTGCTCTTCTTAAGACCTAAACACCCCAAGCTTCTGAGCTACACGCCCGCGAAAATGGGGAGTATTTTGGGAAGAGTAATTCAAAGTCAGTTGGCATTAATGGCTTCATAATAACGTCACGCAATTCTGCCATTCCACAAACGATGGCGCAATATAGGCCAAGAAAAAATAATTGTGAAGGCGGTCACATCTGGCGCATGTGAGCACGATTTCCAGATGCAACGGCTGTCCATTGGTTCCCAATCATCGTTGTGCAAGATGCGATGACGTAATTAAACCATGACACGCCGAGGAGCGTATTTACCTAACAGACAATTGTGCTGTCTAGAACAGTCTGTCTCACTTAAAAACTATAGCAATAGGTATAAGCGAGCTTATTTCGTTATATCTGATGCCTGCTCCCATATCTTCAAATGTGAAACATTCTCTTTCAGTTGCACCAGTACAACAGCAGCGTCACTGAGATCCCCGCCCACGCAACCCAGTCCCAGGCCATCGACAGACGGCCGTCACATCCTCCAAGGACAGCTGTCTGTCATAGGAGAGAGCCATCGCTGTCAGCGGCCCCCATGACAGCTGTCACAGATAGGCACCCGTGGGCCCGGCCGCACGATCGATCTCCCCAGGGGCGCTGCAAGAGCTCCCCGTCTCTCCGCCGGTCCTGGGACCGATTGAGGGAGGGGCCAGGCGGCATGCGGAGTGAGGTCGCATCCAGCGAGCAGACGTGCGCGGGTCATCTATCCTGGAGACGTCGGCGACGCCAGAAACGAGCAATCTCTCAATCGTGACCGAGCAAAACGTTTGGTTAAAGCGGCGCCGCCGCAATGCTCCATCATCATGAGAACATCAGGGTCATCGTTCGATGACGCGCACCGTCGCCGCTTGAAGGGCAATCACTCTCCTATTCAGCGGGACGCGTGCGGACATCGGCGTGACCGGAGGCGGCGCTTCGCAAGCCGCGGATTGCGTGCTTCGTCCATTTGCGCCGTTTGCGCGGGGACGTGTTCCAAAGCGGGACAGCGGTCGCGGCGTTCATGAATGGATGCGATGGTGCGCGATAGCGCAGCATATAAATGTGGTGCTGTGATACATGTATCGCAGATAGGGGATGCTCGTAGTGTAAAGAGAAGTGACAGGAACAGCCTCTGCTAAGCTTGAAGCGTCAGCGTCGTGACCCGCCAGCATGTGGCGTTAATGGTGTGCGGGTGCTAACACTACGTCTGGCTTGTGTCGGTAATATTTTGTGAAGAGTGCTACCGCCTCGCTCCAGCGGCCGCGTGGCGCGTGCAGAGCTGGTGAAGGGTGACCCCTCTCCAGAAGCGGACTGCGCGAATTACCGGACTATTAGAACAGCGAAGACGGCGCGTTGTGCCATTCGCATCTGTCCAAATCACTTTGTTCCACGCATACCCAGCTGGCACTCATTTCAGTGCGCCTGCAAAACGTTTCATAACATCAATTTTACAGTGATTGTTCTAACTAATGGCGTCGTTAGAGCGGAGGGACTGTGGGGTCATCCCCCCCCCCCCCCCCCCTGGAGGTGACGGGGTCACCCCCGTGGTCAAAGCCCCTAATCCTTTTTAGCAATTTAAAACCTCGAAGGGGCTTCCAAGACATCAAAATCAGACACTCGAAGCATCAAAATGGGATCCAGAGCCAAATGGGGTTCCCGAATCCAAAACTAGGCCATGCTAGCCCTAAAGTGGGGCCCACGTGGCTGAAATGGTCCACTTTGTCCGATTTGACTCCGTCGCGATCGAAATCCTGGCTATTGCACAGGGTCTAATGGTTTAAAATCACGCTGAATTGGGGCTGGATTTCTTCCGTTTATTTCTCAGTGACAGCAAAGCTCCATCCCTTGCACAGTGCTGACTTCATAATCTGACCTCATGCCCTGCTAGCTGGCGCGCCGTGGCAAAACGATTCGTATAATCACCCACGACATGACATTGACTTAGTGCATGGCAACAACAATGGCTGAAAACCAACGCGTGCTGTGATTTAACGGCGCCTTGACCTTTGGCGTTGCGCGCATCATACTGTGCACAATGCTCTGCTCGAGTAGGATCATTGTCAAAGAGCTGCAGGACCTTTTAAGGGACAATGAGGGGCGGTCATCCGACCTCGGCATCTCACGACTTCCCTAGGTCACAGAGCCCGCTCGCGGCGCCCCAGTAGACGACCATACGACCTCGGCGTCTCACGACTTCCCTAGGTCACAGAGCCCACTCGCGGCGCCCCAGTAGACGGCCATACGACCTCGGCGTCTCACGACTTCCCTAGGTCACAGAGCCCGGCCGCGGCGCCCCGGTAGACGGCCATACGACCTCGGCGTCCAAGCGGTCCGTCCGGGTCTCAGAGCCGGAGCTCCTGAAGCTGGAGCTCCGGAACTCCTGAGCTCCCGGCCGGAGCTGCAGCCGAGGCACGGAGGGGACTTCGCGGCCCGCGGCCCGCAGCCCGACCATGGCAACAGACACGCGCCGCTTTGAAATGGCCGGCAGAAGGCACGTGTTGATGCTGGCTTTCAGGTGGAATTTTCGCCCTCTGCTTGGTCGGCGGACCGCTAATGGGGGCACGTGACCCGGACAGAAGCACGCGCTGTTCCGGGTCGCCCGAGGGGACGGACAGACACCAGCGCGCCTGTTTATTTCGGGCTAATCTGGGAGTCGGTTTGTGCTTACACGTAGTCGTTTCGCACAACCTCAACAAACCGAAGTCGCCTCCAGCAGTCGCAGACTCGGCGCAGTGCTGCTTCATCGTGAATGACCACGGCAATGATACGGAGCCGTGTTCGCCAGTCGCGAGCACCCCATGCCCGGTACACAGTGACGTGTGCTGATAAGGCATCATGACTCATGCTGTATGTGGATACATAATGAAAGATAACGGAGCTGGGCGAATGAAGGCTGTCACAGACTTCCGAGGGACTTATCGCGTCACATTTGGGCCTGTTATCTAAGACTAGGATCTAAGACAGTGGTATATCTATGTGTATATCACCGTGTGCACTCCCTAGCACGGTGAACTTACCCCAGATTCTTGCGCCTAAACCGCATGCAAGAAGTCCTTTACCAAACCTCAGCCAAAGAGGCAGTTCGTCAAACCGCACTCTGCCATTCTGGCTTACCTTCGATTCCCGCAACGAATGCATAGCTATCTGATCGTCCGGCGTTTCCGTGCCGTCAGTCGCAGGCGAATTTGGCGCGTCATGAATGCATCGGCGGGAATTGAGCCACGCAGCGGGGTCGGCGGAGCGACACTAATTGGACGGCTGCGTGCGCCGGCCACGGCGGGGAGCGCGGCCCCGTGACACCGCGAGTGACCGCAGAAAGGGGCCGGGCGCGCCGGCGGCCCCGGCCATTGTCCGTGACCTCGAGGTCGTCTTCTTGTCCGATGCTGATGTAGTGAGGCGTGTCAGTGGGGTGTGCTAGAGGGGTACGTGAGTCGGGTGCGTGAGTGAGGTGCATGAGTGGAACGCGTGAGTGGGGTGCATGAATGAGACGCGTGAGTGGGGTGTATGAGTTGGGTGCATGAGCGGGACGCGTGAGTGCGGCGTGTGAGTGAGGCGTGTGAGTAGGGTGCGTGAGTGGGGTGCATGAATGAGACGCGTGAGTGGGATGTATGAGTGGGGTGCGTGAGTGGGGTGCATGAGTGCGGCGTATGAGTGAGGCGCGTGAGTGGGGTGTATGAGTGGGGTGCGTGAGTGGGATGCGTGAGTGAGGCGCGTGAGTGGGGTGCGTGAGTGGGGCACGTGAGTGGGGTGTATGAGTGGGGTGCGTGAGTGGGGTGCGTGAGTGAGGCGCGTGAGTGGGGTGCATGAATGAGACGCGTGAGTGGGGTGTATGAGTGGGGTGCATGAGTGGGACGCGTGAGTGCGGCGTGTGAGTGAGGCGTGTGAGTGGGGCGCGTGAGTGGGGGCGCATGAATGAGACGCGTGAGTGGGGTGTATGAGTGGAGTGCATGAGTACGACGCGTGAGTGGGGCGCGTGAGTGGGGTGCGTGAATGGGGCGCGCAGAGGACGGCATGGTGCTCTGGGGTGTACTCGAAAGCTACGGTGCATTTGGAAAGTTGAAACGCACGTGCAGTGGATACCGCGACTTACATGTACGCAGAAGAAGTGTGCATTAAGAAATCGACTACGCTATGCTATTGTGATAGATCACACAGCAATAATATCACCCTGTCGAAAGGACGCATACAAAATGTATGAAAAAGCTGCGATCCTGTGCCCTGCATGTTTTCGCGTTTGAGAACATAACCCCTTGGCTGATAGCCACTTTAAACAGGTAATCGTATGCTTCCGGATTTCACATACTTTATATCCGACAAAGCATGTGCAAATGCACACACGCATGCATACAAAAGATAACCACCTTTGCTGTGTGTGAACTGAACATAAGAGTTTACATATCAAATAGCAGTCAATTAATTGGAATCATAACAAACCGTGAGACCACCAGTGACTGACCGCCATACATGGGCATGTCCTTGCACTACGCGGCAGATGCGCATTGGCAGGCGGGTACATTCCGGAAAACGTGAAACTCAAGTATTGAAGTTATCGCCCGTAATGGTTAGCCGACGCTACCAATCATGCGGGCTCAGATGGCACCTCGTAGACATGAGGTAAGAAAGACCCCTCACATGGCGGGGGTTCACAGCCATTTGTGGTGAAAAATGCCGATGGCATCCATCCACATCATCTCCATATAACGTCGCGCGAACATTTGGTGGGGAAGGGACGAGCTGCCTCCCGTATATCAAGTTTTTTACAGAGGAAGTTTTATTCAGTGTGTGTGGGCGTAGCCGCCTCTGGCTATTATGTCATCCGAGAGCCCTGCCGATGTCTCGCTTGCGATGTCATCCACTGCGTGGAAGTCCGCTTCTCAAACATCGTGAACCCACTACTAATTAATCACATTTCTTCAGTCCTTACCTTGTGCTACGCAGGGCGACTCAGTCCAGCGGCGCCACATCCAGCTCAGACGCAGCTCCCGGCCTCTCGCTGTGAGCCGGGCTGCTCCGGGGTGGCCAGCGTCTCACGTGAGATCGGATCGGATCGGATCGGATCGGATCGGATCGGATCGGTGAGAGCAGTCAGTGCGCGTGGTCAGGCAGCTGGGGGACCCTCCGCAACCGGCGTCACGCACGGACTGACCCGGCCGCCGACGGGGGCGCGGCGCGGCCGCCACCGGCGCCACCTGCGGGCAAGGGGCGGGACCGTACTCCCGCTGTGGAGGAGGGGACGGGACTGTGCTCCGCCCCTGGAGCGGAGAGACGGGGCCGTGCTCTGGTCCTGAAGGGGAGAGAGGGGCCCGTGCAAAGGGGGGAGAGGGGACCATGCAAGGGGGAGAGAGGGGCCGTGCTCCGGTCCTGAAGGGGAGAGAGGGGACCGTGCAGAGGAGAGAGGGGGTGGTGGAAAGGGGAGAGAGGGGACCGTGCAAGGGGGAGAGAGGGGCCGCGTTTCGTGCTGGAGAGGGGAGACGAGCTGCATCCCGGCAGATAGGGGATGAGAGGGGCTATGCCCCGACCCGACAGTCAGAGCAGAATACATCAGCTTTGCAAAAGGGTAAGGGTCCACGGGATATATAAAATGGGCAGTAATCGAGCCGAGAGGAATGATGTACCACTGCCATGAAGAGCGGAATATGGACGGCACCCCGTCTGCAAAAAGAAAAAGAAACGTTGTAACACAGCTCTCATGAAAGGAGGATGGACGTGACCGTTCTCTAGAGCAGAACACCGGAGACGGGATCACTGTGTTCAGGCCTCGGAGGGACAAGGTTGAATTCATCCGCTGGTTCCGTAGGTGAAGACACCATCGCTGAACAGGTTTCTGCCGGAGTATCTTTGTAAATGTCTGATTCGAGCCACGCATGATTTTGAAGATTTACAACAATGATAACCGACCGCTGTCTAGGGAAATGCTCGACGCACTAAACTGCGGCGCTGTCTGCCAATCAGTCAGTCTAGTATGGACAGACACCTATGACCTTACTCATTCGGTAAACATGTAAAGATTAAGACGATGTGACACAGCTAAGCAGACGAGACGTTGCCGGACATACGGTACTTGGTAACGCGATAATCAGACTGCTTGAAGGGGGCAGGGTGTCGTTGATAAGACAGTAGTAATAGCTTTGTTCCTCGTAGAAAAACCAGGAGAATGGAAATATAAATGCGTCGACATTTCAGCAACACGCCTTTATCGAAACGAATAGCAGAAGTAACTAAAAAACTCAATACATCTATATCTCCATTCTTCCGGTCTTTCTACGGGGAATGAGGCTTTGACTCCTGTCTCATCTACGCGCATAATGCTCCTCGCAAATGCACCCAACAACTTACGCAGGGTGTCGTTAAATTTCAATGCAAAATGCATAGTTTTGGGGAGTGAGTAATACGCATGAGAGTATCCATGCCTGGAGAGGGGAGGGGGCAAGAGGGAACTGTTCCTTCCAATTTTCATAAAGTGTGATTTCGGCGTCTCCAGTTTTGTGCGGCTAGGTATGCTGATGTTCTACATGTTCTTCAGCTTGTGCACGCATTAATTACAAGCCGGCTGAGGATCTAAACACAAAAAGCACACAAAAACCACTGTCTAGTCGCACCCAGACAATACAAGAACATACGCTTGAATACGGGGAGCATCACTGCACAACGTACAGTGTACAACAGGGAGCATCACTTCCCGGCAGACAAATGACCGTAACGAACGACCGTAAAAACAGGATCGCCTCCGTGCGGTGACCACCGCTCCGGCGTTCAACCCTGTCCAAACCGCGCCGACGCAGGATCACCTGAGTCGGCCGTGGCTGCCGCGAGACAGCAGACGGCGCGAGCGGCGGCGGCGGCGCTGAAGCCGACGAGCGGTGGGAGATGAGTGACTCAGGGCGTATCGAGCGTCCTCCGCCCCATCCCGACCCCAATCTCCGGCCCCACTCGGCCCGTGGCCTCGGCGCTGATCCCTTTACGCGCTGTGCTGGTGAGCTGCGACGGTTACGCGTCCGCCCTCGCGTCTCCTTATCGACTCGAGGAGCACTGCGTGTGCGCGCGAGCCGTTGCGACGCCCTGCAGCCCGGGGCGCAAGGCGGGACGGACGGAGACTGTGGCGGGGTGACCAGGGAACGTGAAGATGGAGGCCTGCCCCGTGCGTTGTTTGCGTGGCGGAGACTCTGGTGAGTATTGTCGCATATAGCTCGTTTCACAACAGGAGGCTGGGACCCGCGTCCCGATGTGGACGTGTGGATCGTACGCTATATTGGCTTCATGACGTTTTTCTACTCGACAAACGAATCTAATCGTCTCATTTAGTACAACTGGTCTCAGCTTTGTCTCTTGAAACGAAAATACGAACTCAAGCAATTTTCAATTGCCCCGTTTGAGCCTACCAACAGGAGACGAACATATTTCACTGGACGTTTCTATTCTCAAGACATCGGACAAACAGGACGTGTCAAATTGATTGAGTCCACAAGTTTATCCGATGCGAATAAAATCGTGTAGGCTTGTACTTCCGCTGTATGAAACTAGGTCCTGGAACCCTGAGGACCGTGCAGTTCCAAAGTGACCTGTATCGTATCCTCGCTTTCTGAAGCCGTCCACCGGTTGGAGTGGGGAGGTGGGGGGTAGTGTACTATTATGTGTACTATATGGGAACTTCGACCTCAGCTTCTGCTGGCGCGATGTGTTGGAAACAATCTCCGAGCCGAGAGCTGGATTCTGACACGTGCAACAGCTGCCGCTGCGGCCGGTCAGGGCAGATGAAATCGATGTCGTTTGCGTGCGCCCGCTGGCTGTGCTGGGTGAAAGCTCAACTTCCATTGAGATCATAAAAAGGCTGTAGCCATGGGAGATGGGGTATGAATTGAACCCAGCAATAGTCCCGACTACCGTATGTCAACCCAAGTGAAAGACCCTCGCGGTTTCACAGGGCCAATGAATCACGTCCGATGGACGTTATCTGCTCTAATGCGAAGGGGCCTGGAATCCGTGGGCATTAAGCCCTCGGTCACAATGCCGCCTGTGACCGAGTGCACCATGGCATACTGACCTGGGGAAGTGATATCAATCCGTGAGGAACATGCGAGGCCATCCTGGAAGAGGATGCTTGTGTGTCACCTCACTACGAAGCGCACCGGGCAGCAATAAACCGCACGCAAAATTTATGGCGTTCTCCTGAACGCCGACCTGTGATTTGATGTCAATGCAGGCTCGATAACTGGGGCCAAAGATTCTCGTCGCTGACTGGTTCTCCTGACCTCGACACTACCAGTGGAAGGTGAGAACGCAAGGCTTCGTGACCCCGATATCATGACGGTAAAACCTGCAACAATTCCAATAGCGGACTTCGCATGGTTCTACTATACGTACTAGAGAAGACATGTACCCGAATCCCACGGGTGGATCCAGGATCCCATAGGATTACATGTAAGTAGACCCATGGGATCGGGTGCTTGGATCGGCCCTGGGGATAGGATCCTGGGATCGGAAGCTGGTATCCATTTGGAGGGCTCCATACACATGTCTGCATGGGATTTTTCACTCATGCCGAGTCGGCTACGTGGAAACTGTGGGTGACATCTGCCTGCTGTCCCAAAAAGAATAGCACTTATGGTATCCGTCGTGCTAATACATGTTGCGCACCGCAGTTCGTTGTGGTCTGAGCACTGACGACTTTTGCCATGAACGTGGCACCACCGTGAAGCCCGTTTCAAGCAGAGTCATTCCTCGGAAGCCGATCAAGTTTGCCACTAAATCCCGGCTGGAGGTTTGTCAACAGCCTGCCAAAGGATTTCGACAAACTTTTGGGAGATGGAGCACCCCAAAAAGATCACAATACTCCGATTTGCAACCCCAGTGACGTCTAGGGCCAAAACCAAAGTTTTTCATTGTTTGCATTTGCCATTGATCAAACAACCTCGCATCTGTATAGCGTGGCGTAAAAATCACAGCACATTACACTTTTGATGTCATTTAAATAAGCGGCGATGTCCTTCGTGCAAGTGCATGTTGTGCGATATATGCTGCCCTTATCTTTTACTCGGCAAGATAGAGTATACATTGCAGGGCTGATTTGTGCCAGCTATATTTTCTGACGTTCATATGACATTTCTTGATCTGTTCTCAGCGTGTGGATACGCGGATACATATTTTGGAGATGTGTAGTCCGTAAGTCCCTGCGATTGGCGTATGTTAGTTTTACAGCATTTGTAGGCCTCGCCTCGTCGACCACTCCATGCCTCTTAAATTAAATGCGGAACAAAAAAAAAACTGCTGATATTAACCCCCCTTATCCTCTTCTGCTTTCACATGCTCTGTTGTCTGTTATGCATGATGGCTGATCTATCAGACCAGGGCAGACGTGGTGAAGTGTGGGCCTATCCCACTCTTATCAAACGTATTTGTGTTAGTCGCAGGACGGTGCTATTTTAGGTCCACGCAAGTTACGATTACATCTTAATGTGGCACAAGCATGGACCTTGACCGTTATTGAGCCTCCCTAGGATCGTAAATGATGTGGGTTTGCAACATCCATAAATTTAATTACGCTATCGCTAAACATCTGTGGCCAATGTCTGACACCGGCCATCGAAGCAGCTTATTCAGTCCGGTTAGCGAGCGCCGAGGATCAGTATGGCACATCACAGAATCGGTCAGCTACCTTTTAGTGGGGGCCAGCCAATGCAGTGCAGAATACTTACTCCCGTTTAGCCAACGCCTCTCATTGCTTAGCTTTCAGCTTGTCGTGGTAGGTCATATGTGCAATATTGCGTCTTAAATACAGCGGCAGAACAGCGTGGCCAGCACACCCCAGACCGCCACGTCCACTCGGGAACAGCGGACCTACATGGACTTAACGGCGGAGGGGGATGACATGGCATACCGATGAGTGTGGATCCAACACGTTTGTGTGCTTGCCGCCGCGTCTCAGCTAGGTTAGGCACACGAGCGCTTCCTGGAAACTTGTTTTTAATGTGAGTTAGCAACTAAGCTAGTTCTAGAACTGTAAATGTCACTATCTTGTGTCAATTCAGAAGCGGGCATCAGCGTACTGTAGTCATACATTTACAACCGCGCGTGGACGTTTGCTTTGGTTGCGATGAGAAACCGCTCTTAAAGGTGGG